CTTCCTGGGACAGCCCGGCTGCTCTTACAGCAGCTCGAAGACTGCCTGGCCAGAAGGCTGCTAAAGGTGGGAGCATTGGGAAGGTGGAAAGCTCTGACGATGGCTGGTCCCCGGGACTGCTGAGTCTGGAAGGATTGCGACTGGGCGGCGATTCTGCGGAACTCGGATTTTCGGATTTCCGCATACTCGCCACGGCCATGGTTCTTCCTTGGCTCTATGTGATGGACTACAGTTGGCCGGCACAGCGCTGGCTGCGCGGCTGGCAAGCTGTGCTCGTGAAGCCTACGTTTACGCCGAAGCCGGTGAACAAGCTGACACGTAGTGATACTGGCGATGCAGCCACGTCACCCTTTTACTTTTGGCTGCTTGAGAGATCACTGGAAAGCTGGGATGCCCTGGATGCTTGCTTCTTTGGGAATAGCTTGACTGCCCCCTGCAACCCTTCAGCGATACCTGGCCGGTTGCTACCGGCGACAACACTGGGAGAACGGGAAGTACCGAGCTTGCGGGTGGATGGCCTGCTGCTAGGACTGCTGAGTTTGGAAGGAAGGCAGTATACTTTTTGGAGTGAGTGGGTGTGAGATGTGAGTTGTGGGAGCGAGTGTTGAAGCTTCTTGGGTGGATTAGGGGTGTGCTATATCGGATTGCCCTTCTGTTCCTGCGCTTCTGCGTGGGAGAGGGTTCGAGGCCAATGTGCTTTGAAGCGAACTCTTAGTGCTTGAGCCAATGAGCTTCGGCTGATGACCGGGTTGTGTACTGAGGCCTCGCCTGCTTTGTCGAGTGTGAGTGCTAAAAAAAACTGCCACATATTACCTCGCCTGGCTTGTCCGAGTTGTGAGAGCGTAAATGTGTAAACGAATATATAATATGCGTATGATATTGTATACGTGTATGTATACGTAGATGTGTAAATATAAATGCATGTATAGGTATGTATGTATGCGCATGTACAGGCATGCATGCAGGCATGCGTGCCTGCATATATGTTATATGTAAGTATGCATGCATGCATGCATGCAATCATGTATGTATGTATGTATGTATGTATGTGCACATGCATATGTTTTATATATATATACATGTGTGTGTGCATCTGTATGTATATGTGTATCTATGTATGGAGGTGTTTGTGTTAGAGTCTTTGCGTGTATGTTTTGTATGTTTCGTCAGGTATGTCCCCACTCGACAACATAGAAAGCATCAGCACATGCAATATGGGATGTGGGCGTGGAGGCAGCTGCTTCCAACATTGCTTGGCTCGACCTCCTGCGTGGGTCCGGCCTCCACCAAGCGCCCGGACGGCACGGAAGAATAGGCTGATGCGCTCAGCCGCGAGCATGAACACGCTCCGTGACTGTGGTGTGCCATTCTATGCAGTGCGTTTGCAACTTGGAACGGTATCAGGCCCATTGGTGCCGATAGTATGACAGAAATTTAAGGGGGTCCCCTCAAAAAGGACCCCCCCAAAGCCAGGTTCCTCAAAAGGAGTAGCCGGCCAGTCGGCAAACCAAAAGCCACTATTAGCTTTCAAAACCGGGCTTTTGAAAGCTATTAGTTTTCAGCTGCGCGTGGCCGTTTCGCTTCTCAAAAGGTCCTTTTAAGTCTGGGTTTTCTCCTTTAAATACCTCGAATGCTTATGCTGTGCTGGATTCCTGCCATCTGTGAGCATAGAATTAGAACAATACAACTCCTTCTCTCTCTCTCTCTCTATCTCTCCGTGCCTCCCTCCCTCCCTGCCTCCTTCCCTCCCTCCCTCCCTCCCTCCCTCCCTCCCTCCCTCGTCCCTCTGTCCCTCTCTCTCTCTCTCTCCCTCTCTCCCTCCCTTTTACCCTATGGGCCGTGGGCTCAATGTGTCAATGCGTTTGTCCCAACCCAAAAGAAAGGACACCAGTCATCACCCCACCCCGCCCACCCCACACCAGCCCCCCACTCTCTACCCACCCCACCGTCCCTGCCTCCCCTCCCTTCCTCCCTACCTCTCTCTCTGTTTCGGTGACTTACAAGCCTTTGTAAGGGCAATCGAGGGCATTCGAGAGCATTTGAAAGCATTTGAGCGCTCAAATGCCCTCGAAATCTGGACAGAAGCGTGCCCTAGACCCCTCAACAGGCCCGTGTAGGCGATTCCAGGGCGAAGGAGGGCATTTGAGGGCCATGTTTTCTGCTCGAGTGCTCTGGAAAAAAACGGTCTTCAGAGAGTAGGGGGTTCAGGATCTAGCAACCAGCAGTGTAGGGTTCAGGGTTGAGGGCCGGAGGTTTCGGGTCTACGGTCGTCTAAGACTTCTATTCGCTAGGGCCCCTGCGAACGAGCACGTTTCAGAAATTCAGCAAGCCTCCGTCACTCAAGCTTCACAAAAGGCTAGTGATTGATTCCGGCGTGATTGTACAAACGCGCGACGAAACGTCCCCGCTCAAATGCTTAGGTTGATGTCTGCGCTTTGGGGGGGTCCTTTTTGAGGGGACCGCCTTAAATCTCTGTGATAGTACATGTCCAGCACATGGCAGAGGAACTCCAGACGGTCTCCTGTGGCCAAAGCCAAAACGTTCGTCATCACGGGCAATCCCGAGTGTGCCAACTTAGACGTCGTGCGGTGCTCGGATCATTGGATGTGGGTGCCGGGCTGTTGTTGCTGCTTGTAGCCTTCCATGTTAGCCTAGTCCGCAGATGCGGATTATCTGCCAGGGTCGCTTGCAAGATATTCGCTGTCCCATCTTCACTGCGCTGTTCGTAGGCAGGGGAACACTAGCCATCCACCTGAAAGGTTCGGCAAGAGCTTCTCTCTCGAGGGTTCGTGGAGCTGGATGTCGACTCCAGATCAGACTTCGACTTTAAGTGGGGACCTCGAGTGAAGGCCGGGTCATCCTGGTACTTCCCGCAGTTCTGGCAGTTCACCCAAGCGCATGTTTCCCTCATTTCCGCAGCCTTAGATCATTACGTGAAGTGCGTCGTGTGTCTGGCTGCGACATGCGTCGGACTTGTCCATGACGTTTACTAATTGGCAGTGGTCATGCTAACTGAAGCTCCGGGGATAATTGCAGCTACTTCGGTAAACACCGTCGTCGACACTGTTGTTTGCCGTAGCATCAGCATCTGTCTTATCTGTTGTTCTGCTTACAACTTATTGCTGAATATCAGGGTTCGTTGTGACGTTGGTGCTGGTGCTGCTGTTCGGGGTAGTGTCGCCTCCTTGCCGCTCTAAACTTGCATTCTTACTTGCATGCAATGTACTAGTTTCGTTTGTGGATGATGAAACTGATGCGTAAGATCGCGAGAAGCCACGGCCGTCACCACAACCTTAATCAAGTATCATTTCTACGATCGCAACTGTTTCTAGGTGCGCTTATGCGCGGTTGTCATGGTTGATATATATATATATATGGCCTCATCTATCACTCCAAATAACTGTCCATCAGAAAGTTTTTGAGAGTGCAACCACCGCTGCAGCAGTAGTGAATCCTAGTGCTTCCGTATTTGGCTGTTTTTGTTGATGCTGCGTGTTTTGGAGTTTGCCTTGGTCTTTTCTAGCTGTTGAGTCATGTATGCACTTGTTTTTTTTGAATTTGTCTTGGTCTTTTCCTGCTGTTGAGTCATATCTGCACTGCTTCTCGGTAGTTATGGTTGCAGCCAGCCCTTTAGCAAGCCGATTTGCAACACACCCTTAGAAGCAGGAAGCATGTGCAATGCACGCTGACTTGTTTTTGTTGAGCCAAGCTGTGATCGAGACGACGTTTCTGTTGGCAGGTGGACTGGAAAACTCTGTCGAGTCCGAAGCTTGTGAACCATTTCGAGTGTGACTCCGAGCTGACGACAAAGTCAGGCTCGTCAGAGTGATCTCTACTTTGATTGAACTCTGTTGGTTAGGGAGGTCACACTTCGACTGTGAACCAGCTTTTCGGCTGGAATGCCAGGCTTAGCTGAGAACCTGCAGGCAGCTTCCAGCCCAGCCGACTCCAGCAGCTTTGCAAAAGGTTTGGTATTACAATCCGGGTGTTGGATGATGCGGGTTTGCGGCGGGTTGGAGCAGATAGTGATAGTCATACTGTAGCTGCTTGTTCGCGGCTGCAACAGCGAAACTAAACCCTGACAACGCTACTGGAGTTGGAACCTGCGCCCTACAGGGCCAGATTGTCAGGGTCTCATCTATCATTGTCATTCGTCAATGTTGCCGCACAGAATACACCCGCATGGCTAAACAACCTTGCCCCATCCTCGGTCACGCAGAGACGAGTTCGTCATGTCGTGCGCGGCGATCTCCTGTAAGTGTTGCTTTGGCCCTTCATCTTCTCCCGAAAGTCCGAAAGCGTTGTGAATGGAATGAACGCCCATGCCACAATATCATCTTCCATTTCCGGGCCACGTGAGGAAGCTTCTACCCGGCGTGCTTCCCCCTGGACAGAGCGTCGGCATTGCAGGAGTTTGCACTGGAGTTCAAATACTCCAAAGCATGCTGCGTGCTGAAAGCTCCCCGCCTGAGCAGTATTTCTTGATATGCTTGGGCCAATTCTTGAAACTCCGTTATAAGCCCATTCTACATGACTGTGCGAGTGGCCATCAAAGAAGCTGCAGTGGCAGTTCCCCCGGGTTGTTTGCAGAAAGCTTGTGTGCAAGTGACAAGGAATGGCTCGATCATCAATCTACGTGTCTCTGCTGCAGTAAATTTAGTGCCAGAAGAAACTTCTGCAGCAAAGCCTCGCTGGATAGAGCATTTCGACAGAGGAACACATGTACGAAAATCACTGCCTGAAGTGGCAATTCCTGATGTTGGTGTGCTTTCTCCCGTTCACAAAGCCTCCGGCTTGTAGCTGTTTCTATGCCGAAGGAAAGCGAAGGAGACCTTCCAAGAAGGCGTCGTTCGCACGGTCAGGGCCTCGGCAGTTACAATATCTACTTTTGATTGCCTGCCATCTTGTTTGAAGACAGAATGAGCATTAGGGAATCGCAGGTTGCGAAGTGCCTCCTCTCTCTCGAACCTCGTCGTTTAGCAGCACGAGACAGTTTGCTGAGCTTATGCCGAGGCTTTGCGCGTGGTGAAGCGCCGGTTAACGGACATCGATTCCAAGCTCTCTAGTGACACAAACGAAGCTGAACAGGCAGGCGTTTCGATCCACATCATGTTGCCTGATGCTAACTCCATATGCCCAAAGCTTCTGGGGCGAGATTCGGATGTTTCTTCAGATTTGAAGCTTAATTACTGGCTTGGTATTCATCGTGAACCATTTGTTCGCTGTACATCACGTATATGGACGACTCAGCTCATGCATCGCTAGACATAGACGGCGGCACGGCAGCAGGTGGACTTTCGGGTCAAGCGCAAGGAGACCGACGGAAGCGCGGTGCCGCATGCAAATCATCACGTGCTAAAGTGCCACGAGTTGCCCGAAGCTGCAGTTTTATCGTCAGGCCTGCGCATGCATGATACACATTTCCCGGTTACCCATGGTCACTAGTCCTACGCTGGCCCACATGGCCCCCGGCCTTTTGTGGTCATGGCAGGCAGGGTTTTAAGTGAAATCCACGACGCTATCAACCACGGATACTTTTAGAAATCGGCACCCGGACTTTAGTGGTCACAGAAGATCAATGATGTACTAAATTGCAGGCCCCTCCCTGCAAAAGACTTTAGTCGTCACGGGGAACCTAAAGAACCAGACAATTCAGGATTTAGTAGACCGAAAAGGGGTACCCGACCGTCGGGGTAACCAAATAATTGGTATTAGTGCAGAAATCGCTCAGGCCGCACGCTGCTAACATGTCTTCACCAAGGTGCTCCAAACGTGACAGCTCTTTTCGCAGAGCATCCTTGCCAATTAGTTGTAGAAGCTGTGCTTCTGCGTGCTCAATGCAGAGGAGTCCAGAGAAACCAAGAGGTGCTCTTGTTGGTGGTGAGCCAAGCCACTGAACCGGCCACAGTTGCCAACACGCCTCCGACTTTGCTGATTTGCACTGTAGAAAATATCGAAATAGGTGACTCAGTAGTTTGTCGAGACATTGAACGCAAGATGCGAGCTCGTCTGCCTTGTTGTGTGTGCAGGAGTGGGACATTCTGTTGGCCGCTGATTTCGAGACACCTCAGACCAATGTGGCCTCCACCGACTGGCAGAATGAGAAGCAGCGGCGAAGCTTGGATTTCAGAGCGAATTCTGCCCAAGTACCGTGTCAGCCACTGTTCTGCACTGTTCTGCCACAGTACTGAGCAAAACGTTGAAGGAAAACAGCTCAACGAGAAAGGCAAGCAGCTCATCGAGCAGTATGACAGGACCTGCACGAAAGACTGGTGCTGTGCAGGAGGTGATGGAAGCCCGGAAGTGTCGATGGTCAAAACAAGATACTGCAACAAGGTCTGCCGTAGCAGAAGCCATTTTGATTTTCCGACCACGTGCAGGAAGCTCCAGCAGTTTGCAGAGCAGGCAAAGGCATCCTGTCGGCTCCACATTGAAAGTTCCGGGCATTGGCAACAGTATCGGATTCTTCCCGGAGTAAATGTCTGTTGTCCCTGGTTTTCTAATTACTCGTCCGGCCACGTGGCCTTTCATGTCATGCCTCGCGCGAACGACAAGTCAGTGTGAGCAAGGTTCGACACCTTTGATGATTGGAGCCTCGTGCAACATTGATCGTTCGCAGCAGAAGGTGTGTCAACGTTCGTGATTCGAAGCTGCACTGCTGGGTGCTGCAAATGAACCGCACAATGCTATGCCCACATGGAGACATCCAGAAACCTGTAAGTGCTTTGGGCCGTCATCTTTCATGAGGGAGTAAGCTCGTCATTCATCTGCATCCAGCCGACTGCATACGTGATTTCATTTGAGGCGAAGCGCCGTCGGAGCACGAAGAAATTAAAGGCATCGGAAGAGGAAAAAACACTGGCCGGGTCTGGGACCTTAGAGGTGGGACCGGGGCCCGTTCATGTGGCGTCGACTCGGACTGCATGCGAATACCGAGTCAGCTACATTTCCTCCAGTGTGCCATGGCAAGAGCGGCCAGGAAGATGAACCAGAAGACAAGGAGGAAAACGAGGATGTCGAGCCAGAAGAGGACAATGTCAAACGAATGTGTAATTTTTGAGCGTCAATTAAGTAAGATCGGATGAGCCGTGCACGGGCAGGGTGTGGTGAGTCTGGCTTTGCTCGGTTCAGCTGGCTGTAGTGGCCCTTTGATGGATCACCTATGTGGCTCGCTGTCCTAAGCTAATTACTACATGGCACCAGAATGCCAGCACAGCACTTGTGCGGCTTTGATGCATCGGAGCCTCCGGTAGCATGAGCTCGAAGTCAAAATTTAATTAACTGTCGACGATCTCGACTCCTTCATCAACAAGTTAACTCGACTCAGCTTTTTGTGGCCTGTCTGATGCTTGCTCGCCCTACTCGTACCGAGCTCCCATGTCGCTGTCCTTCGAGGAGGAGCCCTGCGAACCGCTGGAAGAGCCGACCGGCACCGAACTGCGACAGGAAGTCGAGGAGGCAGGCTCCTGTTCGTCTCCGTCGTAGGAGCATCATTCTTTGTGATTTTTGTCGGCAGTTTAAGCTGAAGTTTAAGCCATCCTCAGTTAGGTCTCTAGGGCTACATGAGTGTGTGTTGAGCAAGGGTGCTTCCTGTATGTCTCAACGAACAACACTACGCTTGCAGATTGCAGGTGTCCCGAATTATTGTTTCAGGGATTGTCAGTGCTGTCCCATGTCATCCACCAAGTAATGTCACATGTCGAGCTTGCGCCGTGGTTGTTTCCAGTTTCAGGGGGACAAAACCTTGCCTGGTCCAAGGTGATCGAATTTTTGAAGCACCACCCGCAGTTCAACCTCAATCGGCGCAATGTCTGGATCCTGCCAACTAGCTGCGATAATGGCCTCACAGACATCGGTGATCGAAACGGTGAAACGGTTGCGAACTGTTGTAGTTCAATCAACAAGAGTGGCGTGGATTGTATGTTGCCATGAATGTGGTGCCTTCGACTCGAGCTGAGTTGCACAACATGTACGGGCTGTGCATAGTAAGTACTTAGTACTATGGGAAGCGCACCGATTCATGAATTTCTGCGATGCTCCTCACCGAGGAAGCCTGCAAACAGCTTGCGAGGCCACGGCATCATCGCAGTCAGGCGGCAGTACTGCATGACTTACAAATAATGTCTCCTAATACTCTCAGCCGGCATTACCTGGTGTAATTGCTGCATCTCCCCTTGAGTGTCCCCCTTATTCGTGTAGTGGGGCGAAGAATATCGACGAGTGCTGTGCTGCGGCTCTTATCAACAAACACCAGGGTGTCTTTGCGTAGTCCGAGTTGGGGAGCTTCACTTTGTGTCACGCCGACCTGCACCTGTTGAACCTCGCCTGGCTTGTCCGAGTTGTGAGAGCATATCAAGAGCTGAGATGAAGGGAAATTGATCTGAAGTCCAAGGTAGAAAATGACCTCGACCGGATCTTCCAGCAAGCCCGTAATAAGACGTGCACGTACGTGTGCCAGCGGCGGGGCTGCGTTGTGAGATGTTGTTTGTTGGACAACTGAGTGGCTTTTGATCCCGAATGACTCCGCTGAATCACGCCTCAGGAAGTACATTGAGAATCCTTTGCTGCAGCTCGGCAGCTTTGGGGTAGGAGCAAGCCCGAGACCCAAGTGTCTTTGAACATTGAGTCATACACCGACAATACCACGCAATGGCAGGCCGGCAGTCAGCACAACTTCTGAAGACTATCTACGGTCCGGGTCGTACTACTGCTGCGGTGGAATGAACTCAATCTTTGCAGTTCCATCAAAGTTATCCCAATGGCTGCCAATCCATTTCAGGATCGGGGCGCGGAAGCATGACATCCGCCAGTGGGTGTTGGTGACCTCCGTCAACCCGTTGACGATCTACTTCTACAGTGAGTGCTTCTTGGAATGAGCAAAATGGGTTCTTCAGCAAGGTGTTTTCTGATTTTCTTGACTAACAGTCAAGCACTCCCTTTACATCGAAACATGTTCTTCTAGCCCAACCCGCGGCATCAGTGCAGCTGAAGCTCCATTGCGACAGTAGCAGGTGCCAAGACAAGCTGCTTAAGCTGTTTTTCCCAGCCCAATCTTAGCACATGTGACGCTGCGAGAAAAGGAAGTAGCAGGACCTGGCCGTCCGTCCTGCAACAGGAACTCTGGCGACCAAATTCCGGTTTTCCGGTTACTCGTAGAAGCATTTAGTCACAGCATTCAAACCGGGTTGAAGTTTCTAAATGCCCAATGGTCCGTTAAGAGCCGAAATGCCTTCGGGCAAATCAGGTCGGTGTCATGGAATCTGGGTTACATGTCGTCATAGCTCTTACAAAGTTGGATGGGGATGCTGGATTTCAGTCATGTCAGGTTAGCAGCTTAGCAAGTCGAGCGAAATGCCTACGATTCAAGACGTCAACCTGAAGCCCAAACGCCTTCAACTGACATGCACGTACACACACACACACACACCTCAAGTCCTTAAGGCCTGAACCGCAGACGCTGACACCACTAGCCAGTCAAATCCCCGTTTCACTGTGGACCTCGCGGATAGTCGGGTAATCGAAGGTACCTGTTCAACGTATCGCGCCGACACCTCGCTTGGCATGTCCGAGATGTGCGAGTGTAGACCGAGAGATGTCACCTCGCTGGACCGAGTTCTGAAAGTGTAATTCGAAGGTCTTCTCAATCGTCGTCGTCCTCCAGTCGTAGATGAATGCTTTCAGGTCGTTGACACCTTTTGTGTTGTCCCTTGTCCGTTTTCGGCCCGCACTTTGCGAGAACAATAAAAGGTGCCAGCTGTCATAGTTCAGATTTCGGCTCTCTCCTGCAGTGGTCCTGTTACGCAGCTGGCACGGTTGCTGTTTCGGTGAATACACTTGTTGCTTCCCGTTACTCCTTTGGAAGAAGAGAGAACCCGCTGCTTCCTGCCCAAAGATGCCCAGGCTACATTCGTATTGCAGCGAACGAGTACACTCTGGATGACTTTGCCGACCGTCGGAACCCGAGTTGCAGGTGGGTCGAGGCCGCCTTGGGTTCCTCCAAAAGGATCCTGCACTGGGCCGCCAAGGCTTCACGCATCTGACGCACACCATCATCATGAAGCACCATCCGATGCTCGTCAAGTTGGTGTGGGCAGTGTGGGTAGAATTCGGTGCCTAAGTTTCCCAAACCGGAGACAATTGCTGTACGGCTCAAAGTGACAACACGGGGGAAATTAAAAACCATGTTGTGCTGGATCCTTCCCTCGAGCTTGACACGGCTCCACGGCACAATGAGGAGAGCCCGAGAAGGTATGCTTCATAGTGTACTGGATTGCAGCATACACCTTCCAGGATTCCCATTTCCATGATGCCAAAGTTATCAAGCCAGCCCACCGCCATCTCGCTCCGATCCAAAAACTATAAATATGAGTTGCATGCCGTGCGAATTGAGTCAACTACTGGTTACTTGTTATTACCACCTCGTTAGATGTTGTAATCACTGCATCCTATTGGTGATATCCGGAGCTGTCAAAGGCTTTATGCAAATGTGCCATGGCAGTATGGGAGGGCAGCTGGCAGCGAGCCCAAAGCTCAAAAGCAAAGAATCTAAGTATGTGTTGCTGGAGCCGCAGATACCAGCGCAAGAGGGGTGATACAGCACTTATCCCACTGTCACTGCGTCATCACGTGTTGGCAGAAGAAGCTGCCGGCATTTGTTGCTTCGTGCAGACGTGTCGCGTGAATCCAGGTGAGCCGTGGCACTAGATGCAGACGCATAGCGCACAAAACGTGAATCGCCGCCATGGTCATCGTGACTTCCGTCACCTTCATTCAAACATTCAGTGTTTTTTCTCTGGGGCATGTACTACAAGTGAAGTCATCAGGTTTTGCAGGTTGAATCATGCATGCATGTGCAGTGTATATAATGTGGACGGCAAGCACACGCAGAGCCAGCAAAATTCTAAACAACAGATGCTTCGGCTCCCAACGACCATTTGTTGGTCACTGTTGGGCATCCTGAGCTTAACAAGGTTTCACCGGCAAGCTAACAGCTAACCTTCTCAAAGTACCGTTCGCAGCATTGCACGGAGCTCTGACATAGCGAACCAAAAGACACGTCCTGCGGCCTTTGTAAAAGCATGGGGCTTATCAGGGATCCTTGAATGCTCGGGAAGCAGGGCGAACATGTGCGCAAACAGGGTTATTGTGCGCTTCTATCGGAGTGCCGGAGAGGACCATCAAACACTCATTCAAGATAGTTGACCGAATTCACGTTACCAGTCGCCAGAAATCTTGAGATGAGGAATCGTGGGGACATGTGGCTGAAACTACTGCAGTTACGAAGTTGTCTAAGGAACTTTAATCCGGATGATGAAGACTGGCGCTGCCAATGGACTCAGGAGAACCAGGGCAGCCAGAGACGCATCAAAAGTGCAGGGCTTCCTTGCGCGGGCTGTCGAAACAGGAGAGATATCGTCAGCTTCTGCAAGAGACAGCTGGTCGGGATGTTTGGGCAGAGAAGGCCGGGGGTCAGAGGGGGCGGGGATGGAGATGCGCCTGAGACGCATGATGCGGCCTCCGAAGTGTTCAGTTGCTCGTTGCATAAGCTGCGATGTTGGTTGATTTCGTGATGTCAAGCCGCAAGAGCTACTGATTGAGGTGAAAACTTGCGTTTACTCGGCAAGTACTTTGTTCAGGTCCGCCCGGCCATGCAGCAGGTGGTCATTGCCTCGCTGCAGAGCGTTGCCGAAGTTTTATCAAGGCAGGCTGCTCTATGTGACACGTAGCTGCTACGGATCATGATTCAATGTGAGGCATGCCAAGCCACCCCGCAATGCAGAATGCTCTGGGAATGTGGTTCACTGAAGACTCGTGCCCTGTGCCAGGCCTCACAACAGCTCCTGTAGCTTCCAGCTGTTCGGCTACGACTTCATGGTCAGCTCGGCTTTGTTGCTTGCACCCACTCAAAAATCGAAGTCGGGCATACGGGGCGTCGGGGCGGGGCTTTTGAGGTGTCAAGTTTGTTGCGCAACTCTTGAGCGATTGTTGAGCAAATTTGGGATGAGGGTTTGGTCCGAGCTCAGAAGATCAGAGAGGTTGCTGCAGACTGGGGGAGCTGAGGCATGACAAGAGCACCATCCTGTTATCACAAGTAACAGCAGGTGGATGCAGATTACAACGTCTGGCTTCTGGAGGTGAACGCATCCCGGCATAGACTTGCATACGCAGCCTTTCACTCTTTGATGTTTAAAGCTTTGCTCAGGACATTCCGATGATGCAGGCGTCCGGCCCAGTGACCAGCCGCCTTTGCGATGCTTGCCGCTGTGCGAACAATTACTTTTGACTCGGGTTTCCCGTGACATACCAGCATCGGCCTGTTTCCACAAGCCATCACCCTCAACACAATGAGGCTTTGGGCTTTGAGGCACAGGTTCGGGCAACTCAGTTTCCGAGGCGTCCGCGATGCTATTGGCATCGCCATTGATGGCCCTCCTCCAGACAGGCAGGAACTGTACTTGCAGCACCCGGGTGTTTAGAAGCACCATTCCTTGGTTTTCGTTGGGCCCTCCGCTTTTGGTGCCAGTGCTGTAGGCATGAGCCCGCCGAGCCCGGGACGCTCAAGTTCGAGCTCATCTATGAAGGACCCAAGTGCCCCGGAAACACAAAAAAACAATATAAGTGTTTCTAGAGTTTCGGATTCTGTCCACAACCAAATTTAGCCAAAAGGAGGCATAACTAGGGTAATAATAAGCCCTATGCCCATGGAGCCACAGCAATGATGGCGACAGCCTGAGAGAGTGAAGGGACCACGAGTGATTATGAGTGATGAAAGCCATGCATGTCTGGCAAAGCCGCCGCAGAGATTATATTTTCCAGTATTTTTGGAAGCATCACGTGGAAGGTCAGGTTGGGTGTCGGTTCAATCAGGCATGCCTGGCCTTCTTCCTCTCATGCAATGCAGACGTGCAGACGTCTTCAACTGGCTGGCCCATGACGAAGCCACACACTATCACACTGTCAGATACTGAACGCTACCGGGTGCATGACCTAGGGCGTTCCGCGTATGCAGAAGGCGTCCCTTGAGGGGTCTCACAATGGTGAATACAGAATCGTCACAGGTGTCGGATCGTGTCGTTAGTTACAATCGAGGCGTCCAGTAGCCAAACAGCAGATCTTGATCCAGTGCCCGCAGTAGGATTCCTGCTAAGGATTCCAAAGCTGCCTGGACTCCATGCAGCGCCATGGCGGCAACTACATAGCCACTGATGTCTCGACATGTGAGGTTGCAAAGCACATCAGCGCGATTTCGTTTTTTGGGGAGGGGGGATGGCAAGCTTGCGTGGCTCAGCACTGGTGATCTGGTGCGCACAGATGCCTAGATTTCTGTTTCTATGACAGGGCGTGGATCTCTCCATAGACGGGCAGAAGATCAGTTTGCCGAAAAGAGCAGCAGGCTGGTAGTCACTGGTAGTGGACTTGTACATTGCTCCAGGCGGAGAGTTCAGGGCAGTTCATGGGTTTGGAACGGAACATTTCTAGAGTTGCTGCACCATGGCGCGATGCGAAGGCACGAAGATAGTGTTAGCCACAGCATTCCACAGCTGTGTATAGACTCTGCACGACTCTGCCGCGAGGCACACCGCAACCTTCTCCACAAAGCCTGGTTCGCCTCAGCGCCCGGCGGGTACAGGCATCTCATCAGCCACATGAAGTTGGGTTTCCTGATGCTGCATGGATAAGGTTTGCCGTTGATGTCACGCGTGTCTCTTCCAGCTTCTGTGTAGGTATGGTGATGCGGCAGCGATAGAATGGACAGATGCCTCCAATACCATCCCTACACCCTTACCAGTGCACAGTTGAGTCTGGGTTGGGTGTGCTCGTATTACTCCTTCGCTCCGACCTTTGCCCTTACCTTCCATGCTCCGCCCCACCCCCAGTTCTGCCCAGCCATCCCGTATCTAAGCATGTTCCTACTTCCTTTCTCCACTCCTTTTCCCCTTCCAAGACAGATTCTCAAATCAAGATCCCCGGGATTGAAAGGGTAGCGTCCTTGCCACCAGGAGCTGCAAGATCTGGTCGACAGAAGGCGCCACCGTGAAGACCAGGCAAGCACCAATGCGGATACACGGCTCGCTTCGGGCTCCGTGAAATTGACGCTAAATCAGTGTAAGACAACATAAAAAATTCTGAACGAATGCTCGCGTGAAGCGGGAAGCGGGGTTCGCCACTAACCAGCCTGCAACCACTCGGCATGGGTCCATAACCAGCTGTGCTGCTGTAGATGCGAGTGGCGGCGAGTTCTTGGCTGCAAACTGCGCTTGCTAATCATTGCAGCATGGCGTGACACGAAAGGCTTGAGCTCAAACTGCATAGCAGGAGCTCCAGAAGAAGGCCCGCCAGCAGCGACTGCGGTGACTGGACTGCGGCTTTTCAGAGTATTGCTGCGGAAAGTCTGCGGAAATTAGCGGCTGCAGGCATCCATGCAGAGATTGAGGTTCGCAGTGCACGGCAGCGCTCTATCCTTTTGAGAATCATGCAGCACGGTACGCATTTGCAACTAGCTCTCGTTCTGAACCAACTGGATTGGGCCTTGCTGCCAGCACTACAGTGCACTGCTTCCGAGGCGACTGCTTGCTAAGAAACTCCTCGGTCGGCCCCTTAGCGCCTGCCAGCTTGAGCCGTTTCCGTTTTCGCGGTGCTTACCATTGCCTCGTTATGACCCAGTAAGTTCTGCTTGCTCACGTCTTACATGAAGCAGCCCTGGCACCTCACGAGGTCCGAAGAGTACATCGTCCCCGTGCTTGAATGAGTGGAAGGTTGGCAGCAGCTTGTTTGTTAGATGCTGTAGCTACTGGCACACACACACAGAGCAAATCGGACACTCCAAGATAGGTTGACAGCTTTCGGTCCTCCTACTGCGAAAAGGCCATGCAGTCCGATGGCGACGAGCCAGCACCACCGCCCATGGTTGTGGCCGGAGGCAATGACTCGGTGCCTTACAAGTTTTCAATTAAGCTTCCTGAAATTCGCGCTGATGCAGTCCAGGCGCCGACCAGTTTCTGGGCTCTTCTGATTGCGATGTTTCCGTTTATGAGCACGCTGAAAACACATCGAGGTGCTTCGATGAGACTCAGATGTGATGATGCTTATCTTGATCCTCTTAGTAGTCTTGTGTCGTCTTTTTCATGCTGAACAAGATGCTGCTTCTGCTGACATTGTTCATGATGATGCTCATGCGCATAACTACGAGGGTTTGGGTTTTTAAAGCTGGTGCAGGTGATGATGTTGACGATGCTGATGAGAAGGTTGTGATAACATGTGATAACATGATGGTTGTGATGGGGAAGAAGATGGCAATGGTGATGATGGTGCTGATGGTGATGATGCTGATGCACATTAACATGATGGTGGTCTGCTGGTGGTAGTGGTAGTGATCATGATGAGACGAATGGTATCTCAACTGTCGTGAGACTGGTGTTGAGCATGATCAACAGTAGGAGGAGCGTTCTCGTTACAACGAGGGCTTTGATCATGCTGCTCATGCGGATGCCGCCACTCGGGGTCTTTTGACTCTGGAACCCGGGCAGGTCCTCCGCCGTCCTTGTGCCAAGAGCTTGAGACCGGCTTGGCCTAGTCTGCGTTTTACGACTTCGGCAGCAGCCCGGCGAGATACGCAGAGCCGTGCAAATTGCACGGCTGCTGCTAGCAACACGAATCGGCCAAAGTTGCCCAAATCAGTCTCACTCCGTCGAAAGCACCTATTGCGCCGGCTGCGAATCAATCCAGCAAATCCAGGGTTACAGCTGGAGCCAGCATGTCGGTGGTAGCAGCATATGCAGCCCGGCAGGTTTAGGTGGTTGGCGTTGGCAACCCGCACCAAGACCATAAAGGTCATGAAGACCGAACTCCGAATACCTCTGAAAGGACGAAGTCCGATGTTTCACTCGGAGCCAGGCCGTGCCGTTTTCCAGGCTGGTGAAAAAGCATGTGAGCGATGATGGAGGCCCCCAATTGGGTCCGACAGGATGCCTGTCCTTGGGTTGCTGGTAAAGTCCTGTACAAGGACATGAGTGAAATAACACCACAGAATAGTATGAAGTTAAGAGTCAACCAGACGGGCGAGGGAGTTTTCATGCTCGCTCATGTGCAGAAGCCCTTCTAGCACACTATGGAACAGCACGGGTCGGATTTGGTAAGGTCGGCTTCCTTTGGATTGCAACGTCTGCTGTGCCTCTTGCCTGCAAGCTCTTGTCGGGAGGCAGTTGTGAGCCCAACAGGAGCAGGTTGCAACAGCCATGCAAGTGAAGCAGGAATTTGCACCAGCATTTGTCCACTCAGTGCCTTCGCGCCAGTGCCGAGGTTTAGTACATATGCAAATGGAAAGTTTCTTCGAACGCTGCTTGGAATCGCACCTGGAGCTATGTGCGCTGCAACTCCAAGCCGAAACCTCCAAAGTATCCAGAAGAGAGTGCGAGAGAGCCGACGTGCGCTAGACGCTGGACGTTGCGAGCCCCTTCGGGGNNGGGGGGGGGGGGGGGGGGCGCGCCTGCGCTCTAACTCGTGAGCAGGCAAGAAAGCGATCTCACCTGTAGCAGAGCCAGTTTGACAAAATGTTGGACGGGGCAGCTCGACTGAGCGGGGTGTCGGCACTGCTGGCGCCTCAAGTCCCACAGCAAAGTAAAGAGGGGGAGAGAGAAAGGGAGAGAGACAGACTTTGGGTGCCTGCCGTGCTCATGACTGTGTGGAAGAAGACGGACTTTGGGCTACCCCTACACCCCAGCCCTGGCGAAAGAAAAGACAGACTTTGTGCCTCGCCTTTTGTCTTCGTTCCAGGTTCCACGACCCGTTTGGGCCATCCCTGCTTGCTTGAGCTTGCTTGAAAGCTTTGAAGAGCATACCTTTGGTCCGCAGACAATGGGTCGTCATATCATGTTGTCCACGAGGTTCGAGACGAAAGCACTTTCAGTTCTGCCTTAACGTTGTCTGCGAGTCGAACAGTTCTTGACAGCTTTGCGCTCACACCTCTCCCCACTGTGCGCGCCGCCAGTCACACCTTCGTGCGCTTCGCATTGTCCAGCGTCCTTGGGTCGCCTGGCGTCACCGAATTAGTGGGTTTCGTGTGGATGTCTAGCAGGGGCTACACAGCCAAGTAGGTAGGCAGCCTTGGCAGCTCGCCATGCCGTCTTGGTAAGAAGACGAACCCATCGGCAGAAACCTCTCACCTTCTACAGTGATGTTGAGACAAGCCTGCTTGGTTGCCGTGAGCAAGGCTGGTCTTCTCTTCCACTGCCACGGCTGGGCCCTGAGACTGTTTACAGAGCGACGCGGTCTCCAAGTCTCGGCTTGTCAGTGGCAACTGGTAATGTTTCCCCCAATGCAGCTGGCTTAACTACGTACGTCTTCAAAGTCTTTCAGCATTGGGTTCAGACATGTCCACTAACTGAGGCACAACCCTTGGGACCAGACCTGCCTCGACTGTCGAGGAGGCTTTGATAGAAATGGCAAGGAGTCCTTCAGCCGAAAACCTTTGCCAGCCTCCGCACCCCCAGACTAATGGCCCACTTATGGCCTGGCAATGAGGCACATGCTGCACACTGACCTGCCACATGGATTCAGCTCTGGGCATCTTGATCGATACGAAAAAGTTTCGACATAATGCGCTATCCGAGGCCGCTGTGCAGGGCAAGCAATTTCCGGAACATGGCCCCTGCAGTCATCACGATTGGTGTCCAGGAAGTAGCAGGAAGGGATGACTTCATTGCGTCATTTGACACGTCCGGAGCACAAACCAAGGGGCAAGAACCTGTTTCCCTCTCATCCTCATAAACTTCAGCAAAGCAGCAGCAAGCAAAGAGTGTGCGGCGCGCGATGCTCCTGCATTCGGCTGCTGGCTCCAACTAAGTGCCAAGAGCTTACTACGGCTCTGCCGCTTGGCTGCTGCGCCTAAGTTTTCCAGCGTGAAGGTTCGGAGGCCAACGGGCTTCGGGGCTAAAAGCTTGGAGTTTGAGGCTATGGAGGCAACCCGCAGTCCTGGCGCCGGTGGCAGCTATGCCAGGCTTCGCTGCCTCCGGAGCTGGTGGAGAACAGTAGTAGTGTCCGGTACTGTCTCCTTGCCTTGCTTATCCGAGTTGCGCGGCTGCAGAGCGCATCACATGAATTTTACAGATCGCATTGGCTCAGCATCCATGCGAAACCCTCACCCTTGCATTGAGCCGACGCATCTGCGCCAGGAAGGCACAGTTCGGCGACACCAAGAGCAATACCGCCTGGCACGTAGCTGCAGCCGTCTTTATCAAGCGATTGGCAGTTTGTCATTTGTCGGATAAGTCGGCAGGCTGCGCATCCCTGCCGCTTGGGTTGTCGGGAGATTTAGTGAAAGTCCGTCGAAGCTAGAAATACGGAGGTGCTTCTGACGAGACCCAGAAGCAGTGCCTTCATCAAACCTACTACATGCAGGAAGCCAGTGATCCCATCAAGTACGATTGCGGTACGACGCCTAAGAGCACGTTCGATGCAGCCGCAAAATACAAAGCGCCCCCTCGGCCAGTCGCTCGCTACAACTGACGGATGCTAAACGGCCACTGGGCAGTTGTTGAGCAGATCCGCCCCAAGGAGCGAAAGAGGTTGCTCACCGACAGAAATGCCTACATTGATTCGTGGCGGCAGTGCTAGGCAAGAGCAGAGTTTGATAGGACGTTTGAGCTTGTTGTTGTTCGCCCACACACGGTGCCGCATTAAGTACTCCAAGACCGTCGGAGAGTCCGGTCGGATGGTAACCACAGTTCAACTGCAGCAGTGTGTATTTCTACATGTTGGTGTCTTTGGAGCTACTGGGCATGTCACAAGCCCCATGCTTACCTGGGCAGCCACTATTATTATATCTCTCGTTCCGATCTACCTAGCTGAGGGGAACCGCGGGCTCTAGAGCTTGTAGCTCAGAGAGTGCCATGTCGCCAGCCACGATTCTGCTTAGGCATACTTGGAGAATCAAGTGGTGCCCTAGCTGCATCCTTCAGCAGTCAACGCTCCAATTCGCCTAGCGGAGTGCCTTGGTGAGGCACTTTGTCCTGTCTATTGTCAAGAGAACCGTAGACCCCGTCTGCGCGGAGTTAGTTGCCATTGAAGACTGCTTGAAACGAGACCCATAACTTTCAAAAGTTGCCCAGGAGCGCTCCAACACAGCCTTGATGGAGGCAAGTGCGCATGCAAAAGGGCTGTGGTGATACTTTCAAAGCCCTCGTGCAGGTCACGGAAGGTAGAAGGAGACAGCAACAGTGTGTAGCAGGCTGTAGCCGCCTTCGGTCAGCCTTGGTGTGTTTGTGTGTGCATGTGTTGAAGATCGCTGCTGCAGTGTGTGTGTGGCTGTGTGTGAGCATGCGTGTGCGTGTGTGCATGGATAAGATCATAGCCGGAACATGCATACGTGCATACATACAGCCACATACATACCCACTTGCATACATACATACATGGACAGATGATCGCAAGATGCAAAGATAAATATGGATAGGTAGAGAGAGAGATAAATAGATAGATAGATAGATAGATAGATAGATAGAGAGGTGGATAGATAGGCAGATGGATGGATGGATACATCATACATAATTACACTCATACTGCCTTTGTGCATATATCTGTATATACACATGGTCATCCCCCCCCCCACGACAGCCCACCCCCTTTAAAACCCCAGTACCACCGGCGATTCATGCCTTTTCGTGGGTTCGGCATTAAGCCCTTCTTTCGGCTGGCTTTCACCACGCAACCGAAAACCGAATGCCACAAAAACAACAAAGATCCACAGAGACTGCCGGAACTGCATTGATATTTGTGTGTCTTTGTTCGTTTGTGTTGGCATGGCTTCAAGCTCCCAGCCTGAGACGAAACATCCAAAGATCCAGAGAGCATGCCGGAACTGCTTTGTTGTTCTGTTTTTTTGGTCTTGTGGTTTTGCTGTTCCGATTACTATGGATAATCGCCACTGCATAAGGAAATCTGTAAAACCAAAAAACCAAAGAAACCAAAGGCACAAACCAACAATCAACCTAAAACACAAAAAAACGTTAAAGGCCCGGATAACCTCACTTGCAAATTTTAGTGTTGGCACGGGCCCTGCAAGGCCAGCAAAACGGGCCTTGCGCCAGCAAACGCCGCGCCTGCCGCGGTCTTGGACGCGCGCGCCGAGTTGGAACGGTGCCAGCAATAGCAGCAAATGCCTGCCGCGGTCCCGGACGCGCGCGGGGTTGGAACCGGGCAGGCCAGCAAATGTTGTGTTGTTTGTGTCGTGTTCCATCCAATCTTCATGAACCACGCGACCCACAGTCTGCAGGCAGTTTGCGCTTGAGAATGTCGGGCTTGAAATCTCGCGCTGCGTTGATTACTCGCTATGCGTGGCCACCAGAAGCTAGAGACCAACAGTTACCTGACCTCGTTCTTGTGTATGTACAAAAAGGATTTTCCTACGAAGACTGCGCCAAGGTCCTAAAAAAGAAGACTTGCAGCACTCGTGATGGTGCCCTGGTGGCTAGTGTGTGTGTAACCCTGTTTCAAAGGGTCAGCTGAAGAATAGAGAAGCAGAGTGAAAGTTGTGGTGGAGTGCGCATTTCAAGTGGGGGTATAGAGAAAAGGCATGGTGACACTCTGCTGATGATGGCCTATCGCCATTGCCTGGGGCCGAAACCCCCCCTTATGGACGTGCAGCCTGGATTGTCTAAAATTTAAAAGATCTGGCATTGTTCAGTTTGGACACCGTGGCTTGGAAACTGACTTTGCATGATCATATTCGATCAATGATGTGTATGCCGTTCTGGCTACAATAGTGTTGTGTTTGTGTTGTGTGTGTGTTAAGTGTGTTGTGTGTTGTGTATGTGTTGTGTGTGTGTGTGTTGGGTGTTGTGTTGGGTTTGTGTTGTGTGTGTGTGTGTGTCTGTCGTGTGTATGTGTTTTGTGTGTGTGTTGTGTGTGTGTGTTGGGTGTTGTGTTGGGTTTGTGTTGTGTGTGTGTGTCTGTCGTGTGTATGTGTTTTGTGTGTGTGTTGTGTGTGTATGTTGTGTGTGTGTTGTGTGTGTGCGTAGTGTGTTTGTTGTGCGCATGTTGTGTGTCTTGTGTGTGTGTGTGGGGTGTGTGTTGTGTGTTGTGTATTGTGTATGTGTGTGTGTGTGTGTGCTGTGTGTTGTGTGTGTTGTGCGGGCGGACGGCAGCGGTAGAAGTAAGAACCCCACACAAAGATGAAGACGTGGGGAAAAAGCATACAACAGTTCCGGCATGATCTCCCGATCTGAGGTTTTTATTTTGTTGTTTTCTTTTAGTCTCGCAAAGTCCGACGGACACTGACACATAGACTACAAGAACGGATAAGGGGGTACTGCTAGGGATTGACAGTTTCAAGAGCATGAACACCAAAAACAGGAGGGGGACACTGCCTGCGATTGGAGAAGGATCATCGCCAGCACCTCCAATATTCAATTTGTCTCGTCTCATTGTCACCATCAACATCTTCATTACCTGCATCATATGACTCCGTAGTTGTGATTGGTTTTTGCTGTGTTTGTTGTTGTCGTGTTTTTTCTTATTGTCGTCGTCGTCGCTGTTGTTGAGCTGTTGCTGTTGCTGAAGAAAGGCAACGTCCGACTGACACGACAACACAGAATACAAGAACAGATCCGGGCGGTACCCCCCCGCTTGCGATTGATCATACCCCATCCTCTTCGTTTGGTCTCTATGACCTACCTCGCCATCCTCCCCCAAACGAACCTTCTCGTCTCGTACTCGTCTTTACCCTTTTCATCATTTGTTTCTGCGGATGTTGTTGTTGTTGTTGTTGGTGTTGGTGTTGTTGACCCCCAGGCTGACAAAGGAGCCTGGGACTTAGAGTTGCCGTTAGGGCTGAAAAAGGCTGGAAACGTGCACGCGCCAAGGAAAACAACTGGATGTAGTATAACTGTTACTGACTAGTGATACATTATGATCAGCATTCATGCCAATGTACTGTTTGTTGTGATACTGACGGTCACTGCTTGTTCATGTCTACGAAGGGATCCTATTGCTCACTAGTTTGTGTACATATGTATGACTTAAAGAGTGACTTATTACTCGCATGATTTTATTCAGTATTACGAACATTGTGAGGATGATTACTGCCAAGTGTACTGATTGCGGGTTTTGTTGTTGGTCCCGATGTTGTTGATGTTGTTGCTACTGTTGTCGTTTGCTGCTGTCGTTGGTCACAGTCACAGTGCTTGGAAACGGGCTGGGGGTTTGGAGTTGATGTTACGGTTGGAGGGTTGGAAGTATATTCACACCAGAGGAACGACAAAGACCAGCCCAAAGGAACGACAAAGACCAACGACACAGAAGCATAGAGTACATACAGCTTCAAGTACAAGTATTGCAAACAGCACATACAACAAGCGAAGCCAGACAACGCTCAATAAACACTTCAGGAAAGTAAGACGATTGCACATACGAGCACAACATCAACAGCAGCATCCAAGAAGACTATGTATGACCATAGTGACCATTATCATTCTGTTTGATTACATACATTACCCGCCCGCTTGCTTGTGAGTCGATCGAAGCTTGTTGTTGCTAACAATCCATTTCCGGTTGCACGAAAGGCAACGAACGGGATATCATATAAGATATTTGGCACCTCAAGTATGGATGCCGTTCACCAGGCCAAGATTCTGAAAGACATGGAAATTCGATATTAAACAATATATGACTTTCGATCCAAAAGTGTTTGGATTGCGGCTTGTGCAACGTATTTAGCCCTGTACCAGTTAGTTAGGCATTTGATGATGTACATATCAAAGGCTGGCTAAATAGACCCTAAAGGTATCGGGCTCATATATGTATGTATATATATATATATATGCATGCACATCTCTCTCTCTCTCTCTCGTTCTCTCTCTCTCTCTCTCTCTCTCTCTCCTTTGTATGTCATCATGTCACAGGTACACATATTGCCATCTCATACCGCAATTCGTTATGTGTAACCTCATGGCCTTTGGCATAATGCACTGAGTCCTCATGTAAACGCAAAGACACGAGACGGTGACAGTAGACTGGATGGGAAGCTTCCGCGCATGTACCTGCAAGGAACCTCAAGCAATTGCCATAATTACTCGTCGCTGCAAGCATACATGATGTGTGAGCAGGGCAGCAGTAACTAGAGCTCATGCTGAGGGTGCTTGTTCAGCTTCTGCCAAAGCACACTTAGAAGTTGTTAGAATACTAGAACATATTTCGTTGCAACATTGGGGCTTTTCAACATTCCGTCGTTCCCGCCTGGCATCACTGTGGTGATACTCGTAAGGCGCGGCCTACTCCAAATTGAAAAGCTTCGAAAGGCATCAAACTCGGGCAGGTTGAGGCGGCTGCCTCTGACCTTCGGCTGCTGCGAGGACGTGTGGACGACCTCGAGGCAACTTGTTGCAATGGCCTTGTTGGACTTGCCGTGTGCGGCTTGCTTTCTGCATGATGGGGCTTGTAGACGGATTGGGGACAAGTGCTCTGTGCAGCGTGCCAATTAACGGGTTGGCCATTGCACGCCCATGCAACTGTTTCCCAACGACTGTCGGGGCAACTGCAGAGCCGTGAAGTCAAGAAAGCTCCCTCCCAGGAGAAACTCCACAGCTCCGGCCGTACGTTGGAGCTTCTCCAGGAGCACCGACATCTCTTTATATGTTTGCTTTCGTGTCAGTGGCGCATGTCTGTCAGGCTCAAAGTGTCCAGATGTACGAGGCTGGCTGCCGGGAAGCGAGTGTTCTGACCCGTAGCCCTTCATGCTAGTGGTAGCTGACTCAGCACAGCCCGCCAGCCTTGCAGTACAATTTCCCTTCTTCCTCTTCCAAACCTTCGCAAAACGGATAAGTGCAGCGGGCCGCTGCTGATCCTTGAAATGCAGGGTCCACCAGCCCGATGACCCCCTGTCATGGCACAAGGCATCACAGTCAGACCGCCACGATGCATTGGAGCAGATGCACCGTAACTGGGCTGGATCTTACTAGGGGGTTTCGAAGCTTGCAGTGACTGCAAATGAAGCTTCGAGATACCAATCTTTACCGGCCTAGCTTCACTTCTTTGAAGTATCAAAAGCAGGGGCTCTCTGGTATGTGCAGGTGTGTTTGAAGTTTGTATTTGTGCTTGGACCTGTTCTTGCAAAACTTTGCTTCACAGTCTTGGGACCATGAGGTCTTGAAGGTCGAGCACTGCGGCTGGAACAGGCAAGAGGATGTGCAGACATCAGGCAGCCCTAAATCTTCGTATCAAGAGCTAAATACCTGTTTCTGGATGTTGCGCAGTGGCAACGACCGGTGCGGAGCAGATGTCAAAGTCACAAAGACCTAAGGATGCCAGGCCCAAAAACATGCCAATTAACGAAAATCTCACTATAAACTGCTTGTGCGGGTGCTGATGCGTGCAGGCTTTGGCTGAGGGACGCAATGTGGTTGAAGCAGCCGCCCAGCCAAAAAAGCGAGCAAAGATCCCGGACACCTGTTCAGGAATCGATGTCACTGTAGGCTGTGCTTCTTGAGTTTTGAAGCAAGTCCCAATACTCGTTATCTGCTCAGCATGGCCTAATGAATTAATGCGTGCACCGCAAAGTGGGAGTGAGGTGTGTACCGGCAAAGGAGCTGCCGTGTATTCTCCTAAGGATTGCAGTGCCCGAAATAGAATCTTCACCCTATACCCAGGACATGTCCAGACTTCGAAATGAGCTCTCTCTGGGGGTGCCTGGGCTTCATGAAAAAGAGCCACTATGTCAATCACTCAGAAAGACCAGCGGACCAGCCTGTGGGTCAAAACCGAAAAGCTCTGTTATGCAGAATTTGGCTGAGGTGCAAGATCTGGGCCAGCGTGTAGACGATCGACTGAGGGTTCTAAAAGAACGTTTCGACGAGCGGCTGCACGCCCTCCAGGCCAGGGTCACTGGAACCAGCTCGGTCCAATTTTGCTTGCAGGGGAAACGGGTGAGATCCTGCAGGTTCTGAGTGGTCTTACTTTGGAGTTTCTCGAGAGGAGTACTTAAGTTATATAAGCCATCCAGAGGCCGAGGCATCAAAATTTTTTTCGCCACTCCAAAAAATCAGCAGTAAGACAATGAGAAGCGACAGTAGTCGCCTTCCGGACAAACAGCCCTGCGTGGTTGCATTGGTCCCCTTGTTGAAGGCGGCCTCCAGTGATGAGGCCACGGTGGTCATCCGCGAGGCTGCAGCTGAGAGTTCAGATGGAGAGCCCGTTGTGGCATTGGGAAAGATGTTCGGGTTCGACGCTTGGGCCGAAGAGCCTTTCATGGTGGAACTGGGAGTGCAGGAGTCGAGGGCTCACCTATAGAAGGCATACAGTACCTCAAAAAGCCATCAACTTCTAGTTGTCCTAGCACTTCCACAGTCAGAAAGCCGGAGAGCTGACCTCGACGTTGACTAATTAATTGAGCCGCGAGCCAGAGCAGGCTCAGGCAACTTGCGTGCGGTTGGCTGATGATGTGTTGGGCGTGGCAGAAGGCTCACAGAAGCATGGCCGCACTACTCCAGATTTTCGAAGGTTGAAGGACGCGTGTTTCAACCAGACCCAAGAAAAGACTGTGACCAGGAGGCACATGGAGCAATTCAGGCACTATGTTACGCGACCTCTACATTTTGTTCACCTCATTCTGAGCAGTCGTCGTTGCGGCAGACCGCTCTTCAAAGGACTGGCCACTGGGAGTTGGAGATAAAATGGAAGTAGCTCTCCATCGCAGCGCAATATCGGAGCTGACAAGCACAGAATATGCAACGTGCCACCACGAAAATCCCCCATGACGACGGCGACTGCATGTAAAGCCTCGAGCGTTAAGAGCTGTGAAGCCACAGTAGCTAGTTGCTATTCGACCACTGTCAATCATCACACGTAGAGCAAGACCGCAACAACTCCAGATCCAAGGTTCTGCAACCATCCGTTCTTATGACCTCGGCAATGCACAATATGTTTTGATAACTCTTGTGTATGGGACTGCCTTCGAATGCGTGAGAGTCTGGTATAATCTAAATAGGTTTTACGTGATGGCATATACAAGAGCAAAACCTTATATCACAAAGTACATTATATCAAAGCAGACCACAGCCTTGTACGACATGATGTTGTATAGTGTGTTGCATGTACGTGCGAGTGTGTGTGTGTGTGTGCGTTGAGGAAGAAGGTCGAGGAGCTGGCCGGGCAAGTAGGTGCGTCGCAGCGCCGTCTCGAAGACTTGGAGAGGCAGACAGAGGCGGCGGCACTGCACGTGCCATGCGATTTGTACTGCGTATAGCACAAACACACACACACACACACACACACACACACGCACGTAAATATATATATATATATATACACATACAGAGAGAGGTGTATATATATATATATATTTATACACACATCTGTGAGTGTACGTATTTCTGCATGTGTGTACAGTACATAGTTATATGCGCGTGTGTACGTCTTTGTTGGTGGTTTGTTTGTTGTGCACTTAAGACCTTGTGGTTCGGTTGTGTGGACAGGAGTTGGACTGATCCAGAAGCCTTCGCTTGCAGGCGTTTCTGTTCCCAGCCATGCACTGCCGCCTCTGGCCATGTTTGTTTGTTCGTGTATGTCTATGTGTCTATGCCAGTCGGGCCAGGAGAGATGCGTTTTCCTAGGGAGGAGTGCTGACCCCAACTGCTTCCGGACATCGTCGAAACAACATGCAAGAACCGATGTCATGCGGGCAGAGATATTGGCATGCTTTTAGGCATTTCTACACTCACCACATTGACTGAAGACTTGCTCTTAAATCGTGTTCTTGCAAAATTTCTTGCAGCACAAATCTGACTTGCCTCCTTCCTGGCATCTATTACGGACTCTACCCTGCCCGAAGTCTTGGATTGCGGACTGCGGACAGGCTGGCCTTGACACCCTCCGTGCCGAGAATGTCGCAGTGCGCGCAGAGCTGGCAGGGCGATCCGCGCGGTGGCATGATGGCCAGAGCGGGAGGGCAGAAGGTGCAGCTTGGGTCACCAGTACTGTCGCAAGCTTGGATGTTTTCCAGAAATCTAGTGAAGCTTGAGCCGATCTAGCGACAAGATAGATCAAGAGTTCGTCGCCAAACGAGATTTGTTGAGAAGGCTCCTCCGCGCCGTTGGAGCCTACAGAACGGCGGGAGCTCCCAGCTGCATCTCCGACTGAGGCCGGTCTCACTCTTTCGCCACAAGCCTTGTCATGCCGTTCTATTTCTCTGCATGTGTGCACAGAAAAACCGTATACATATGCATGTAGAAGCCAAAAACGTATGCAAATAGACGAGATATCTGACAAATTCGACGTGTCTCACAGCAACCTTCATGCAGGCCACTCCAGCCTTCTCAGATCTTAGTGGCTGATACCCGACTACAGGATACGTCACAGAAATGTTCATGTAGGGCACAGGCTGGAGGCTTTCTCAGCTTTAGTGGCTCATACCCGACTGCAGGATCAGGTTATAAGTTGAATGTGGTGGAGCAAAAACGGACTCGACAAAGTTCTCGAAGGATTCAGACCTTCGCACGCTTTATGCGGAAGTTGGAAAGCTAGAGTAGATTGTCTTGTGGCTGCTGGCAAGCCGTGGCATCCCTTTGCTGCAATCGTCGATGGGCAGGAGCTTGCTGATGCTGTCGAGCGCCGGCTGACATCCCGTTTGGGGTAGAAGCCTTAGCATACCTGAGCTGTGGTTGAACTCGGTGCTTGCTTATGCTGTTGTTCCAATGCAGCACGTGGATCCCTGACTATGTCGAGACACATCGAAGCTTGCGGTAGCTTATAGGCAAGATGCACGAGCCTGTGACGGCCCCGAGTGGCAAGCTAGTAACGGAGGAACTCACGGACGGCTCACACATGGGCGCAGGCTACAGGTTCTTCAGCTCAGCGAAGTCCTACAGCGTGTGGTGCAGAGCCAGGCGACGTTGACACAGCAGCTCACCTCAGGCTCGCTCAGCGCTCCCTTTCGTGATGCGGCTTTGTTAGTGGGGGCTTTGGGGTTGGACCGCACGTTTCTACTCGGCCAGGTCCAGCTGGGGCCAAAGCCAAGGCTCGCAGCTCGAGGTCGGTGGATGGCCTCTTGTCTGCATCTCAAGTACCATCGGGCTTGTACCAGACCAAACAAGATCTGCTGCAACATGACAGCAGCAGTTGCTTTCTCCATGGATGTTGCTGCACTGTTTGGTGCTTGTTCATGTTTGTGCCTGCTTTGCTTATGTTGAGCCGAGGTTTGAAGCCAATCTCGGCATCTTGTGCGCCTCGGCCATGTCCAGATGCAAAAGATGTGTTGCCGATACAGTAACTTCAGCAAGCCTGCCAAACAACTCTTGATCCCGGAAGCACTCTCGGTCTTAAGAAGTTCTGGTTCGCCGACCATGATCATGAACAAGTGCATATGACCCCCTCACGCCAGCCGACTGTACCTGCCCAAGGCCGAGCCCCGTGCAGCCTCTGAGGACCGAAAGCAAGCCATCGAGGAGCCACCAAGCTGCCTGAAGTTTTTTGCAATACCAGTAGCAGCCACAACTGCGGCGGCTGCTCCTATTGCTACTGCTACTGCTACTGCTACTGCTACTGCTGCTGCTGCTGCTGCTGCTGCTGCTGCTGCTCCTGCTACTCCTACTACTACTACTACTACTACTACTACTACTACTATTACTACTACTACTACTACTACTACTACTACTACTGCTACTGCTACCACTGCTGCTACTACACCCGTTGCTGCTTCTTCCAGGACCACGATTACTTCTACTCCTACTCATACTCCTACTTCTACTCCTACTACTCCTGTTGCTGCTGCCACTTCTTCTAGTTCTACTTCTAATTCTAACTCCTCACTGCCAACTCCCAACTACTAGCTCCTCACGCCTACTCCTGCTGCCTTCTCTTGCTGCTGCTCCTCGAAGCACTGCTGAACCAGGCGACAGCAACAATAGCCAACATGACAGGGTCTAGCACACCCATGCATACATACACACACACAGAGAGACAAAGCCTGACAGGACCCACGAACCCGAATGCAGACACGCGTCACGTACATCGCGGAGAGGTTCCAAACGCTCTCCCGCAAGGTGCGGCGGCCGCCCGCCACTCGCCAACACTCCTCCCCACACTCCCCTCCACCCGCCACTCCCCGACACTTCTCCGACACCCCCAAAACGCTCTTCCACAACGTCCTGCGGCCACCCGCCAACTTCCCGCGACAGCTCTCCCATAACGTCCTACACACCCTGCGACGACCCCCCAAAACCTCTCGCGAGGCCAGCCCAGAACCCCCTCGCAAGGTGCGGCGGCCGCCCGCCGCCCCCCTGACAACACCCCACAACACCACTCAACTCAAAACGCTCTCCCTCAACGTGCGGCCGGCACCCGCCCACCACTCCCGACATTGCCCGCGACACTTGACCATGCTCCGCCCGCGTTTCCCCGACACCCCCAAAATGCTCTCTCGCAAGGTTCAGCGGCCGCCTGGCAGTCCCCCATTGCATTCCCCAAAACGAGACACCCCGCGACCCCAAAACGCTTTCCCGCAACCACCACTCCACCCCCTACAACTGCTTTCCCACAAGCTCCGGCGGTCTGTGGCACTCCGCGTGCGTGCCGCGCGACTGCTTCGCGGACGCTTCGAGAACTCAAACACGTGGCATTTTGTCGATCCTGGGCCCCTAAGCCCCACTGTACAACGAGAACCCTTCTGCTACGCATTCGGGAAAAGCAGGACGTGGTGATCGGACGCCTTCGAGTGCAATAGCATTGTAAGCTATCATGAGTATTGTGATGACAATGATTGTGGCCGTGCAAAGTGATCATGACGGGAACAGCTGTGAGCTTGCCACCAGGTTAAGCAACCTTGCAGCAGCAACAGCGATCCTACTGAATGCTGAACTCTGGATTCGAAAAACCACCTCATGCAGCCGAGGCTTTACAAGGAGCTCCGGCAACTGGAGGCTGAAGTCCCTTCGAGGGCGCGGCGGTTCTGACGCTCATTCTGATCAAGCGACGGCATCCTTATCGTGTGTCATACCCAGTACCACTGCAATGGCACTTAGCTTGTAGCAGTAGTGGTCGGAGCCCCTCGTGGCACTTGGCTTCGATACCCGTGCGACTGCTGGCATAGATTCCGTAATTGATGAAACCACATGCAAAGTCAAAGCAGAAGATTTACAGACTGAAGCTGAAGTTGTGAAGCACAAACCGCAGAGCAAGCCGGAGCACAGGCGACACCAACCTGTACAGCTGGGTACGTCGCAGATTAACAGGTTAAGCTGCTGTCAGATGGGCCTCTGTACCGGTTTTGCTAGGTGCTGTTGTACCTTTTTGTGGCCCTGCCTGACAGCCTGCCTGCTTGGTGAATCTCCTGACTAGAACTGAGTAGGCTGTTCGTGAGTCGTGCGAAACAGTATTGCTGCAGACCTTGCCAGGCTTGCCCGAGTGTGAGTGTCAACAAATAGGTTAAGCTTGAGAAGTGGCTGGACATGCTACCTTTCAGCCTCAAGTCCAGAGTTCGCACAATGAACCCCGAAAAACGTAGTTGCCAAGATCCTGAGACACTGCTTCCAGGGGGCGGCGGCCTATTGGTGGTGCTCGTTTTGGTGGTGGTGGTGGTGGTGGTGGTGGTGGTGGTGGTGGTGGTGGTGGCGCTGCTGCTGCTGCTGCTGCTGCTGCTGCTGCTGCTGCTGCTGCTGCTGCTGCTGCTGCTGCTGCTACTGCGGCCGGCAATGCTGATGCAGCTTTGGGGGTGGTGGTGGCGGCATTGGAGGCACATCGGTAGTGGTATTGATTGGTATTCGTAAGGTATAGGAGTAGATTAGGATGGGTATCGGTATTATGATTGTTAAACTTATTGTCATTTTTGGTTTCTGACATTGTTATATGACCCTTATGATTAATATTGTAATTGTTAATATCAGTAGTGGTAGAAGAAGTAGAAGTATTACTGCTGCTGCTGCTGCTGCTATTGATACTACTACCACTAGTACTACCGATACTACTACCGCTACTACTACTCACAATGATAACACTAGTATTATTATTAATACTACTACTACTACTACTACTACTACTACTACTACTACTATCACTACTACTACTACTACTACTACTATCACTACTACTACGACTACTA